TGCTGCGTTCGGCGTCCATCTTGTCACTCGGCGACTGAGGATTCAACATCAAGTAGTCTAACACATCCTGGTCCACGAGGGCCGCACAAATCCCCACAGGCAATTATTTATCATCTGCTGATAGATTAGTGGGGCGTTCTTCAACCCGAATGGCATACGCACCCATTGGAAATGCACGAATGGACAGGTAAACGCCGAGATCAACTTAGCCCTTTCAGTCATTCGGACTGCCCAGAAACCACTTGCCATATCAAGACTCATAAACCACATCATTCCTTCAAAACCGGTGATGAGGTCGTCGATCAGTGGTAACAGGTAGTTCGACAATTGAATGAAACTATTCACGACTCGATAGTCGATGCACATCCGAATGTCTACTCCAATCTTCTTGAGCACGATCACAATTGGTGATGCCCATGGCGATTCAGAGTGTTCAATCAGTGTAGCTTCCAGGAGCTTCTTCAGCAACTTGTATACCTTGATTGCCAAGTGTGGACCGACCGATCGTGGTCGTTGGGCAACTGGCCTGGCATCACCCACATCTAAATCACAGAAGACGCCCCTCGCCGGAGGCGGGGCAGCATTCCCGTCTCCGAAGTAGATCTTCTTGTGTCTTTTCAGGATGGACTTCAGCTGCTCTTCCTGAGCCTCAGTGCTTTTTCCAGGTTCTCCAACGTCAGCGGCCTCAATATCACATTCAGGAGAGAGATCATCCAAATCAGGTAGCATGACCAACTGATCTTTCAATTGGGACATAAGCTCACTCCCTTCGCGAATATAAACCGCTGGTTCCAAATCGAATTCTTCAGCGCTCACTCGCATCTGGTATATGCCGCATCAAGTCTTGTGAGTGGTGTTCCAGGCATGGCAGACGCAGGTAACTCAAAATCTTCGTCTTCTACGCTCGGGTCATCCTGGAATACGTCTCGTTCAGACCCTTGGGCCATCTCGTCTGGGACTTTTCCACAAGGTCCTGAATCGACAGCTCCTCCAGTCGACATCTGGGGTGACAAGTTCAGGCAGAGCCACGACAGCCATGAGTGAACCAATCACGCTCGGGGTGTATGCTTCAAACGCAGCATCCCCAGCTGATCCCACGTCCTCGACGTCTCTCTGTGGTTGTGGCTCTTCCACAATCTTCGTGACTTGGGCTCGCTCAGGTTCCCTTGGTCTCGCTAGTAACTTCGTCGGCCTCTTGTACTTGGGAACCATGACCGCAGGCGGAGCCGCATCCCGAAGCGTCTTTCCATATACTTCCTGACGCACCCTCGCCTTCGCGGACAACGTGTTCTCCTGAATAATCTGTTGCCACTCCATGTACCTTCGTAGTCCAGGGCGCAC